TGAAAAAAAGGCTTCGTCATGGGTTCCTGCAGTGGCTTGACTGTGGTCTCCCACCCCCGTGCAGGACGGACTCTACGAGTGCATCCTGTGCGCCTGCTGCAGCACCAGCTGTCCCAGTTACTGGTGGAACGGGGACAAGTACTTGGGTCCTGCGGTACTGATGCAGGTAAGGATGGATCCTGTTTGTCACGTGGCACTGCTGAGGGACTCCCTGCCTCAAAGCAGTACAGATATTTGCCAGTGCAGCTGGGATAGTATTACATAGCCCAGGTCCTGGCCCAGAATTCCAGAGCTAGGTGTTGCTTTTAAAATCTCACACTGGTTACAACGCCTCGAAGAAGCATTTGGTGTGTCAAATGCCACTGACTTTCAGGCCTATCGCTGGATGATTGACTCCAGGGATGACTACACGGAGGAACGCCTGGCACAGCTTCAAGACCCGTTTTCCCTCTACCGCTGTCACACTATCATGAATTGCACAAGGACCTGCCCTAAGGTACGTGCGTGTCCTGCCTGCATCCCTTCGGGGGTTATGGGCATGTTTCCAAGCACCCTGTTTGAAACCAATAGGAAAATACCCACCCAGGCTTGTGTTTGCCACACGCATGCCTTGGCTCGTTCAGCCTTTTGAAACGCCGCGAGTTACCAGCAGTCGTGCTTACGATAGTGACTGTACAAGAGGATGTGGCAAAGTTTGTGTCGCGCATGGCAGGAACTTCTCTTCCTCGTGAGCAAGGCCGTGACCTTGAGAACCTGTCGGTTTCCGAGATGTAGGGTGCTGGCTGTGTGAGGGGCACTGCCAGAAACAGTACGAGGAAGTTTGTCCGGCGTAGTCCGATCAGTGGCGTGAGCGTTGTGAGTAATACGCTGAACCCACACAGCGCAACCTGAAACTCCAATGGCAGCAGCTCTCCCTGATGTATTGTGCAACTTGCGATTACGGCAAGTTTTCAGCGCCTTTGGGGGACGCATTTTACGCCGACGTCCTGCCTTCAGGGCGTTTCCCAGCTGGTCTGTTCTATCTGCTATCTGTAGAGAACAGAGCAGGCTTTCCCAAATCGGGGAATCGGATTGTGCGTCCTCCTCGTCTTGCAATGACCTTGTGCCTGTTGTTGGGCAGATGAAAGTTTTGCTTTCCTGCCAGCTGTACTGTTTGCTCACCAGCCTTTGCACCTGGTAGTGGAGTAATTCTCCTTGAGCTGTGAAATAATCCAAAGGCAAATGTTTGAGTGGGTCGCAGATGTGGGGAAGATGAGATGCTCGAGATCTGGGTTGACGTGTTCCTCAGGAGCACTGCATGGTGATCTCTTTGTGTACTTTTCTAAAGTGTTCCACTGACTACGGATAATTCCCCCTTTGTGTAGGGAGCTAGCTCGTGATCTGGTGTCAACCATAGTTCAGCTACAGATGAAGGTTCAACTTGTAGGAATGTACACAGTGCAGGGAAATAGTGCTTGGGCTTAAGTTTGACATCACAATTAGTGATTAATAACGCGTTTCCACATGCATGCTTTAATCCTGGCTGTTGTCTCCGTCAGCCCGGAAAGGCTGCGTGGTGAGCTGTGCACCCAGGTAATTCCCTGCTCGCTCTCTGTCCGGCAGTGCTGCCGCTATAAGCGCGACGGTGCAGCGGGGCAGTTGTGATCCCCTGCTCGTTTGGGGATTAGGCATGCTTGGTTTGGTAGCGGTGCTGCAGGATTAAAGGGCCTTTCCAACATAACGTGTCTATGTTGTAGAAAAAACTTCTTTGGAAAGCTTAGCTGCCCTGTGTGTGGGCAGCATTCTCGGCTTGTGAGTTACTGTTCTTGCTCACTTCCCTACTGTCCTCCAGTACGCAGCTTTTTTTATTTCAGACAAGGGAAAAAAAAAAACAAATCACATCTCTTGTACCGTCACTGTTGAGCTCTTACTAGGCAGTTTGCTGCCTCCAGAAGTCATGTCGTAACACGGGTAAAAGTGTTGACTTCAGTCCTGCTTGAGCTTTATTACAAGTTCCTGTCCTTCAGCGCACTCATTCTTCTCTTTGATCCTCGCGTTGCTGATTAAAAGCAGTCCTCCACAGTCAAACGAGCGATTTTCTTCAAGCAGCGGGAAGTGCTGCTGGTTCAGCCTCCAGATAGAGGAGGAGAGCTTCCAGCGCTGCGTCTCTGCTCCGGGCTGCCTTGCTCTTCCCTGGTAAATTGAGGCTGGAGTGCAGCAAACCTGCGTCGGCACGCCGTAACCGAGGGCCTCTGCGTGCCGTAGTGCCCAGCCTGCCTGGAGCGGGCTCCTCAGTGTCCTGTAACCTCCTGGCACTTAAAGGCAGCACAGTATTAGGCTGCACTCCAGCTTTTAGGAAAAAAAAAAAAGGGGGGGGGGCTGAGCACCTCCTCTGCCAGCTATTTTGTGAGTAGCAGTGCATTTGTGAGTGTACTGTGACTTAAACTCACAAATGCACTGAAGGAACTTGTAGTAAAGGCGGGCGAGGATGCCCTGACCTGCTGATTTGCAGCAGAGCTAACTGAAACTTTCTATTTTCAGGGTTTGAACCCTGGCAAAGCGATCGCTGAGATCAAGAAGATGATGGCAACTTACAAAGAGAAGGCAACTGCTGTGTAATGCCGTTCCCTAACTGGAGGTGTAACACACAAACATGCTTTACCTGGAAGTAATTTATACCTGATTTAGCAAGAGAAGTTTCCAGCAGGCAATTTGGTGTCCTTCCATAGGCTTGCATGTACAATAAATACTGTAAAGAACAAATAAGAATTGTTACTGTATTATTGAACTATTGCCTCTGCCTCAATGGTAGGATCCCAGACCTCTCTGCTTTGCTTTTTGGAGTGTGCGAGCAGCTCCGAGGCTCTGCTGCGGGATGAGCATTTGAGAGCGGCCCCGCAGCAGACGTGAACAGAGACAGAATTTCTGGCATGACCTTGTTCCCCTGTCTTTAAAGCGAGCGCTTGTGTGGGAAGAGACCTGCAAGCAGTAAGCCCTGTGGCCATTAGCAAGAAAACAGTGGAAGCAGCTGGGAAAGGGCAATGTTGGAAGAATCTCACCCTGCTCCAAAATCCCCCAGGGTTCCGGTGAGGAGCAGAGCGAGGCCCTGGAGCTCGCGGGGTGCAGTCATGTGGTGAAATACCCGAGGCAGTGCCGCGAGGAAAGCAGTGTCCTGCCACCACCCTGCTGCGATGCTGCTGCTCATTCCAAGTCCTAAAGTTAGGTGAGAAGGATTAGGACAGGGCTGAACATTTCTCTTTGCTCTAGTAGGAGTGGGTTTTAGCTCCAGGTTTCTGAAACTTGGGGTGTTTGTCATAGGTTGTTGCCTGAAGCAGTTGTTTGCAGTCTTAGGAGGGTGGAGAGAAAGGAAGCACTTTCTGTTCTGCTGTTGAATAGGTTATTTTTATCTAGAGGTATTATAAACTTCTAGAAATGCTGCTTCTGGGACATGGTGTGGTAACCAGGAAGACTGAGGTGGCATAAAAAGTGGTGTGTGGCTCTGGAAAGGCTTACCCCCAAAATGACTTCTTTTTTTCCATGTATGTTTACCACGCAGCAAGGGAGCCTTACAGCTGTCTTGAGATGCCAGGCTGGTGTTGCGCTCTCAATTCTCATTTACAGAAATCCTCCTTTTCCCGGAGCCAACATCTTCGTTCCCGAGAAGCTAATGTGACACAGGCTTCCGAAGGTCAGAGATTGAACACTTAAAATCCACGGGTGCTGGGCTGCTCTTCCCCGCTGCTGAATTGCCGCTGGTTTCTGCCTCTCGAGCGAGCGGTGGCTGAGCTGGGTGAGCGCCGGTCCTGTGATGGAGAAGGCCCCGCTGCTGGCGTTAGGCAGCAGGACGTGTTGTCGGTCCCACGACGCTGATATTTGTCTGTTGCGTCCCTGTGCTTTGTAATCTCATCTCCCTGCTTAAACCCCAGGGGTTTCCCATCAGCAGCTTGAATAAAGAGCTGTGTGAACCCCCTTCTCCTCTCCCACTCTGCTTTACTTCTTAGTTACCAGCGGTTTTTGAACGCAAACTGGTTTTTGCCTTGTTTTATATAAAAGCTAGGCACGCTTGCTGAGGACAGTTGGATGGAAGTGCGGCAGGATGCGGAGGAACCGATGACAGCCCCTTGCTGCTTCGGCTCTCGCTGCGCTGGCTGAGGTTTTCCTGGTCCGATGAACAAAATCGGCCTCGCCTTTGGCTTCGGGAGGAAGCACAGGCTCGACCTGAGGCGCATCCCGAGAAAACATCTCGCTTTTCCTCCTGTCCTGTGGGAAAAAACCCACCGTTCCCTCGTGCAAGGATGGGTACGGAGGGGAGAGGAGGTGGTTTTCGTGGTGGGGGGCAGGAGCAGCCCTGCTTGCGGGTCTTGGCTGGTCCTGGCAGCGGGTTTTGCAGCAGCCGGAGCCCCTGAAAGCCAGGCTATGGCAGGAGGGGTCTGTGCTGGGGGCAGGCTCGGGGTCTGCGCTTGGCGATCGGCTGCGGTCTTTTTTAAAACTTCAGTACCCCCATCCATTTCCTTGCAAGATGTGGAGGGGCAGAGACCCTTTTTGGGGGCAAATCCTGGTGTGTTCCCCTGCGAGATGAGGGGGTGCAGAGCCCTTTTTGGGGACAGACCCCGCTGTGTTCCTTTGCAAGATGTTGGGGTGCAAAGCCCCATTTTGGGGGCATATCCTGATGTGTTTCCTTGCAAGATGAAGGGGTGCAGAGCCCCTTTTGGGGACAGAAGCCCCTGTATTCCCTTGCAAGATGTGGGGGTGCAAAGCCCTATTTTGGGGGCAAATCCTGGTGCATTCCCTTTTAAGATGAGGGGGTGCAGAGCCCCTTTTGGGGGGCAGACCACCCTGTGTTCCCTTGCAAGATGTGGGAGTGCAAAGCCCCTATTTGGAGGCAAATCCTGGTGCATTTCCTTGCACGGTGTGGGGGTGCAGAGCCGCTTTTTGGGGGCAGACCCCCCCGCATTCCCTTGCAAGATGTGGGGGTGCAAAGCCCCATTTTGGGGGCATATCCTGATGTGTTTCCTTGCAAGATGAGGGGGTGCAGAGCCCCTTTTGGGGACAGAAGCCCCTGTGTTCCCTTGCAAGATGTGGGGGTGCAAAGCCCCATTTTGGGAGTAAATCCTGATGTGTTTTCTTGCAAGATGAGGGGGTGCAAAGCCCCTATTTGGGGGCGAAACCTGGTGTGTTTTCTTGCAAGATGTTGGGCTGCAGAGCCCCTTTTTGGGGGCATCCCCCCCTGCCTTCCCTTTCAAGAGGAGGGGGTGCAGAGCCT